GTAAATGTTTATGAAAATTAATAAAATATAATTATAGGAAAAAAAAAAAAACAAAACACTAACACCTGAATAAAAGCCAATTTCCTGAGTGTGATGATTTTGCTGTGGTTGTGGAAGAGAACAGTCTTTAGGTGATTGATGCTGAGGTATTTAAAGGGAAAGGGGACATGCTTTGTGTAATTTATCCTCAAATGATTCCGAAAGTAATATGTAAAAAAATCACATATACATCAAAAGTAACAAGATGTTAACATTTGGTAAAAATGGGGTGAAGACGTGCAATTTTGCATTCATTGAATGCCTTTAAAATGTTTTTTTTTTTTATTTTTTTTTTTAAATGTTCTAATCGTGAGTGTTTAGACAAAGAGGCATAATACATTTTTTTTATATTTGTAGCTTCTATAATCGTTCATGAAGTAAAAAAACCCAACTTTAAAAAAAACCCCAAATGCAATGCAAACCTTTCTCCCAATATGCACTCAACGTTCCTCACCACCCCATCATACACCAACCACACAAACACTCTCTCTGTGTCTCTGTGTGTCTCTGAATACCCCTCCCAAGCTTCTTTCTCTCTCCTACAAAGAAAAAAATCAATAATAATATTTTAGCATAAAGACGCTTTACATGAATGACTCAGAATGATTTTCAGGCTTTTAGACATGATCGAACGATGAAAGCGACCTTTTAGAAAGTGGGAGCAGCACGACACTCGCAGACGCACGCGGGAGCCCGGTCCACCGCGGTGGCTGCCGGGATGAGCATTGCTTTCCCTCGGCGCCGCAACAACAAAGCATTCTGGGATCGGCTGGCCGCTCTCTGATCTCGCGTGGTTAGCCTCCCCCATTCCCCAAAGTCCGAACACCTCCTCTGCTAACGTGTTTTTCAAATCCACCAATGGGCGTATCGCTTAGACTCGAACCAGCCAATCGGAATGCGGAGCCACCGGGAAATTTAAATTGCGCCGGTCGGCTGCACGAGCCACTTGGTTTTGGTTCAGAGTCGCGTTGGACGATTTGTACGGGTGGCCTACCCGCAGCTGGTGAGCTCCGCACCGCCGTTTGTAGAAGCTTGAACCTGCCCCGCAAGTATGAACTTAAGCCCCAGCCGGACCTCACGGCAGTGGCCGGTCTGCGGGGCGCGCTGGGCCTGGGGAACGCGAGAGGGGAGGCCTCGGGGGCGTCGTTGGCGTAGCGGCTTAGTTTCGCGTCAGGGGTGCCTGGGCTTGCGGGCGTAACGGCACCGGGAGCCTTTGCGGGTGGAGGTCAGGAGAGGCGGAGGGGAGGTCAGGCCTGAGGGCTCCGTTCCAGGACGCCTTCGGCCCCCTCTTCCTCCTGTCTCTTCTCCCGGGGACGGGGGGCTGGAGGTGGCAGTTGGCAAACAGTCTGCGAAAAATAGGCCGTGAGTCGACAGATTAGGATGCAGTCATTGCGCATACAAAGAAAAGGAGATTAAAGATACTAAGTTACCGAGAGGCTTGAACGCGGCTGTCACCCCGGGAGATTACGCCCGCGTGTCCGAGCGGGGTGAGGCCCAGCTGGTGGCAGCCTGCAATCCCTGGAAGTGAAAATAACGTGCGAGAGGCTCAAAAGGCACATCTGTGTCGCACGATTTCAGGGTTGACAGGAAATGAGATGGCAGACCCCATAACGGAATGGCGAGTTCGATTTTTCTGCCCTTTTCAAATGTAAGCGGTGGGGCCGACTTTGGGCGAGGACAGTCCAGCGGAAGGACCACTGGGGAGCCGCCCCCCCCCATGACCTGGATCGCCATCTGAATACAGCTTTTAGCAGCCAGTTGATTTCGGTCCCCCACTTTAGATTTCATATAATTTGCCAAGGGGTCTAGAGCAGAGGTGCCCAGGGTGACTGTTGGTGAGAACTGGAATGTACACTCTACGTTTTAAGAAGGTGTTTAAAAAGGTGCTAAAAAAGACATTAACCTACTGCAGTAATTTTCCTATTTGTATCTTTTGTTTTTGGCGTTTGTGTATGTCCCATCAAATCGGATCTGACTGGTGCAAGAGGAGGTTGTCCCTCCTCCAGCAGAGTATCTGGGGGTCCTATTCGTATTTTTTATAACAATAACATGTTTAACTGATACACCTTGGCTTTAACATTAAAATGTGAACGTATTTTTTTTTAAGCCACTTCAGAATTTAAATTTACTTGGCAACCTTCCTATTTATTTGCTGCTATTGTCTGTTGGTGATATGAGCATAGAGTATATGAGTATGGGATAGAGTATATGAGGCCTTTTTGTACATTGAGGTGAAATTACCATTTTCTCTCATCTACAGGGTCTAGACATTTTTTAAAAAGAAAAAAAATTACTTGGCAGTTTGACATTTCTGGTGGTTAACATTACCCTTCAGACATTTAGCCTTCAACCAAAATGTTCTGCTGCTGATAATACTGAAGTCAGGCTGCAAACATTACTTTTCAGTAGTCAGGTACTTTCACTAGTAAGTTGGAAGTTTGAATCTTCCAGTCTCTCTCTGGCAAAAAGATGTAGTATCTGTTTCTCAAACCTTAGAGCAATTGATAACCCTATGAGACAGTTCTATACTGTTTTAAAGGTTTACTGAGGCCAGATTGACTTGTAGGTAATGGTTTAGTGTGGAAATGTGGGTTTAGCATATATGCAGAAATTTTGTTTTTATTGGTGCTACTTTTTTTGTCTCTTTATTATTAATGCCTTTTTTTAAAAAAAAAACTTTATTGTTTTGTGTGTGTGTACCATCAAATCAGATCTGACAGGTACAGGAGGAAATTGTCGCTCCTTCTCCAGCAGAGCATCTGGTGGATTCGAACTGCATGCGTCTGGGATTGCAGTGCAGCCTCTTGCCACTAGGCCACCAGAGCTCCCTTTATTAATTATTTTTTTAATGCAACATACATATATTTTATTACAGCATATTTTTAAATTAAATTTTTTCCCCATTTATTTTGTACATTTTTCTTCCTGCCCGCCCCTTCCCCCAGTTTTTCTCTTTGAAGAAAAAAAAATTTCATTGTTATACAATTCCCCCAGTCCACAAGTCCACTTGTCCTGAAAATAATATCTAATTCTATATTCCTTTTAAACAGTTCTCTCCCTCATCTATTTTAATGCAGTACACTGTCAAATCAGATCTGACTGGTACAGGGGGAGATTGCCCCTCCTTTTTCAGCAGAGCATCTGGTGGATTCAAACCATTGTCCTCTCTTTTCTAAGGTTTTCCCCAGCCCTGCTGTCAGTCCCGTTTTACAACAGTGGCATTATGCAGTCTTTATCCTTCTGTGACTGAGATACTTCACTCAGCATAATGTCCTTCATGGTCACCCATTTTGCATAATATTTCATGAGTTCTGTGTTTTTTAATGTTGCATAGTATTCCATTGTGTGACTATACCACAGCTTCTCTATCCATTTATTTGTTGATGATTGCTTGGGTTGTTTCCAGCTTGTTGCTATTGTGAACAAAGCTGCAATAAACATGGGTGTGCATATATCTGCTTGGATGGCAGTTCTGGTTTAGGGTATATTCCCAGTAGTGGAATTCCTGGGTCAAATGGTGATTTTATTTCCTACTTCTTGAGAAAATGCCATACTGCCTTCCATAGTGGTTGCACCATTTTACAATCCCACCAACGGTGAGTAGGAGTTCCAGTTTCTCCACAAACTCGCCAGCATTTGCTGTTTGCTGCTCTGTTGAATTTTGCTATTCTTACTTGGGTAAGATTTTGGCTTTTATAAGCGGCAGCTAATTAAGCCGACCGTCCTCCTTTTCTGTGGAGGCCGGTGTGCAATGGCTGCGAACAGCAACTCCGTGGTAGTGTATGCAGCCTGTTGCATGTATGGGTTGCCCTAAGGGACCTTGGAGACAACTCTTGGGAAATTTTTTAGAATAAAAAAAAAAGAAAGGGCAAAATAAGGGATTTTTTCCCCCTCTCTTTCCAGCTTTTGTCTCACAACCATGTCCACTAATGAAAATGCTAATTCAGCAGCTGCCCGGCTTAACAGATTCAAGAACAAGGGGAAAGACAGTACAGTGAGTATTTTTTCTTGACTTCTTTATGGTACTTGTAAGTGGGAAGTTGTTTGGAAAGGGAATTAAAAATACCATCACTTGGTAACAGAAACTGATGTTGATTAAGCACTGTTACCTTTATCTAGGAAATGAGGCGGCGCCGCATTGAAGTTAATGTGGAGCTGAGGAAAGCTAAGAAGGATGACCAGATGCTGAAAAGGAGAAATGTAAGCACTTTTCCTGATGATGCTACTTCTCCACTGCAGGAAAACCGCAACAACCAGGTAAATATATTTTATATCATGATACATGGTGAATAAGAAAATATACGTGTGGGTTTTTTCCCTTAGAAACTTAACATTTCTAGTCTTAAGAGTTAAAGTATAAAATCTAAAGTTAAGTATAAAATCTAAAGATGTTTTGCTAACATTGGATGGGCATTGTCCTCCCTGGTGATTTATTGCCTCTAAAAACCTGCTGGAGGGTAAGCTGTGACTTTGTTTCGACACAGTGGCATATAACAACTCCATATGACAGATTGGACCTGTCCTACACGGTTTTCTTCATGCATTTCTTTAATTGCTTTAAGCTGTCTAACCATTTGTACAACCAGGGCTGGTATCGTCTTTGTCCCCAACTCTGTTCAGGCCTCTTCTTTCTGAAGGTTTTTACAGTAGCTTTCTAATTTATCTTCCCCTTCATTCCAACCTATGTATTGGTGCTGGTGTGTATTGAACACATTTTCAATTTTGTCATTTTTTTCTTTCCAGTCATTTAACTGCTCCCTCCCAATGCTTCTGACCCTACATTTTTTTTTAATAATTTTAATGAGCATTTACAGAGATTTTGGATTTCCATTCATTCATTGCTGCATCACCCTACATTTTTACACCCCATGGTTGTCACTCGTTTTTATTTTTTTTTGGTTGAATTACCTTTGTGCTGCTGTATCAGTTCTGAGGACCCCTGGTGGTGTAGTGTGGAACCTGTCAGGCTGCATATAAATAGAACATACTGCACTATAGGCAGTCTCTTGATGGGAAGTCATCAGAAGTCAGAACCACCTGCAATGGGTTTGATTTTTGTTCCATTAATTCTAGAGTACTATACTTTTCAGCACAGCACTTCAGATTGGCCAATAGAGAAGACTCTTCCTTCCCTTGTGAATTCTTATAATATCCTGAGTGCAGAGTAAATTGTGTATAACATGATGTCATATGTGTGGGTAGATATAAAATTTTTTAGGTTATTTCTGTGCTTATCACATTTTCCTTGTTAGATTGTAAGCTTCTAGGGAGAAGAGTCATTGTCTTCTTTCGTTCTCCACTTTCTTCATCCTGTGAATCCCAACATAAAACATTTTTATTGTAGCCCCCTGTTATGGAAGTGTTTGGATAGCAAACTTATATAGGAAGGTTCCCAGCACAAGTCCTATCATGCTAAATTAGTTTCATTTTTCTTTTAGGTTACTGTAAATTGGTCAGTTGATGACATTATCAAAGGCATGAATAGTAACAGTTTGGAGAGCCAGCTTCAAGCTACGCAAGCAGCTAGGTAAGTCTTGTCTGCTATAACATGGGTATTCAAGCATTTGGAATGGTTAGGGACCACTGATGATGCTATGAGTGTAGAACAGGTTAAATTAGACCTAGTTTCAAAGCAGTAAGGATGTAATTAGTCAAATTGTTACAGCTAGCCGTCTATTTAGAAAAGAATTGTGTTTAGGTCATTACCTCCAACCAAAGATAAATACTTTTGATGTTCATAACAGGGTTCTCCACATAAAGAGGTCCCAGGTTCAAATAAATAAGTAAATACATAAAAAAGAGGCCACCGGTTCATATCCGGGTCGAAACCCCACCAAAAAAAAGAAATAACCAGTAAGAGTTAACAATTTCTGTTGTTTGTCTACAGAAAGATAAATACAGATGGCTTGTGATTGTGAAAAAGACATGAAGCCTCACTAATACTCAGGAAAATAGAAATTAAACTAACAATGATTTTTCAGATTGGCAGATCTATAGTGGTATATATGTACAGGGATGCTTGGGGAAGGTCTGTGCATTGTAGCATTTCTGTTTTGAAAAATTTAGGGGGAGCTCTGGTGGCCTGTGGCAAGGACCTGCAACTACAATCCCAGAGGCGCAAGGTTCGAATCCACCAGATGCTCTGCCGGGGAAGGAGGGACAATCTCCTCCTGTACCAGTCAGATCTGATTTGACGGTACACTCGCACAAAAATTAAAAAAAAGAAAAATTTAGCTGATAGGTTTAGCTTTTAAATTTTCTACATCTCAGCCTTTAGTGCTTTACTGTGTTTTAAACACAGTAGTTTTAGTTTTTTAAACTTGCACTGTATTTTAGTTTTTATATAAACTTGGCTTGCTAATCAACTTTATTTCTTTTCATTTCTCTTAGGAAACTGCTTTCCAGGGAAAAACAACCCCCCATAGACAACATAATTCGGGCTGGCTTAATTCCAAAATTTGTGTCCTTCTTGAGCAGAACTGACTGTGCTCCCATTCAATTTGAATCTGCTTGGGCACTCACTAACATTGCTTCCGGGACGTCAGAACAGACCAAGGCTGTGGTAGATGGAGGTGCTATCCCAGCTTTTATTTCTCTTTTGGCATCTCCTCATGTTCACATCAGTGAACAAGCTATATGGGCTCTAGGAAACATTGCAGGTGATGGCTCGTCTTTCCGAGACTTAGTTATCAAATACGGTGCAATTGACCCACTCTTGGCGCTCCTTGCTGTTCCTGATATGTCATCATTAGCATGTGGTTACTTGCGTAATCTTACCTGGACGCTTTCAAATCTTTGTCGAAATAAGAACCCTGCACCTCCATTGGCTGCTGTTGAGCAGCTTCTCCC